AGATGCAGGTGGAAGAGAATGGAATTTCGGATACTACGTTCGAGCGAACCAAAACCCGCGGCCTGTTCTGAGATCAGGGTGGTGCCACTATGTCCGTGAGAAAGGACTGAGAGTTGGTGACAGAATCATATTTCAGCGTCTTGAAGGCTTCCCACTGCGTTATCGGATTGGGGCGAGAAGAAGAGTAACTATACTTGGTAAGGAGGTGTGGACCAACGAATTCTAATTAAGAACACCATGCTATATATATGTATGATGTTCTTGTATGCTTTCTGGTCCTATGTATTGTTGGGTGTTTTCCTCTTCCATGTCTTGTTGGTGTTTTCCTTTTTCCATTTCCATGGGTGTTTTCCGTTTCTAGTTTTATGTAAGATGGACTCTATGTTGTTTGTATGATGTTTTATGTATTCGAGGTGTTCTGCTTTCATGGTTTTCAACTTTGAATTGTTTGAGAAACTTACTGTCATCGTGTTTGAGTTTAATTTGAATGTAAGAGTACTTAATGTTTTGATGACTTCATCATTCACTCAAGAACAATCATAATTGTAAATGGAAGAAAAGAGAAATGCATCTCCCAGTCTTTTTCTTCATTTCTCATGGACTCCACTCAACTCATAAAATTAGGAAACTTGGTCGGTCGTGCATCTGTTTGGCTGCTTTGTTCATGTTCAAAATCTGGAAAACAGAGGAAGCACTGCGCTGCAGAAAACAGAGGAAGCACTGCGATGCAGAAAAGAGAAATGCATTGATGAAAGAAAAAAAATGTATATTTAAAATGTGCTTAATCATTAACATTTGTGGAATTATGAGTTTAAGAATTTTATTTTTCACAAGTAATTTCATAAATGTTCATTACAGTAATGTTGTGCAAATCTTGGGCTGCACGAGGGTTTGATTCAATGGAGAGAATTAGAAGAAAAGGATTTGAATGCAAAGAGTTGGAAAGATGAGGAGCTAAGGAGTAAATTTGGAAGTTGGCCCAAATTGGATTTCCCCATTTTTTATTAAGAGCTAAATTTGTGCAGTATGCTTTGAACAGCGCAAACGGAAAGATGGAAACATCAAGGTTTCCGCACCGTGATCGAGGTTCCAACCACTGTCCGACCAATTATGTGGGAAGAATGAAAAAATAAAATTAATTTTTTGTATTGCTATCTTAATTACCAAACGCTCTTATTTATTTTTAAATATAAATAGGAGTTTTCAAAACTAAGTGTAGCATAGAGAAAAACAATTTTTAGATTGTTATTTTTTTCTCTAAGATTAGAAAACTATGTTAAATGATAACTAAATTTTTAATAAAATTAGGGAGAATCTTAATTGAAAATTTTGATTTGTTATTTTATTTTGATTCATTCATAAATTTTATTGTTTAATTTTATTTTTGAGAGATTATTAA